CTCTAAGTCCAGCAGTTTGGCCTGGGCGTTGATTTTACAGTGAGGGGACTTTCTTTTATATATATATAGATGGGCAACGGCCAGCTCTCCCTTTCTGAACATGTATCTTTGTAAGCATGTATATGTATTTATAGTAGGGGCTGCAGTGGCTCAGAGGTTAAGATGCTGAGCTGCAGACCGGAAGGTCTGAAGTTTGGCAGTTTGAGACCCGAGTGCCGCGTGATGGAGTGAGCTCCGATCTCTGGCCCCAGCTCCTGCCAACCCAGCAGTTCGAAAGCAAGAAACTGCAAGTAGATAAATAGGTACCGCTTCGGTGGGAAGATAACAGCGTTCCGTGCACCTCCGCATTTTGTCATGCTGCCACATGTCCACGGAAACGTCTTCGGACAGCGCTGGCTCTTCGGCTTGGAAACAGAGATGTGCACCGCCCCCTAGAGTCGGATTCAGCTGGCTTTTGAGCAAGGGAAACCTTTACCTTCATATGTATTTATATGTAGGCATCAGAAGTCTCCAGTCTTCTCCAAGGCAGGCCAGCCTCTGGGTGGGGCCTGGAGTTCTCCTAGAACTACAGCTGATCTGCAGTCTACGGAGCTCAGTCCCCCCAGAGGACATGGCGGCTTTGGAGGACGGGCTGCATGGCATTAGACCCCCTTGACCTCCCTCCTCTCCCAAAACCCCGCCCTCCCCAGGCATCACCACATCATCCCCAGGAATTTTCCAGGCTGAAGTTGGCAACCCTAATTGCTGGGGGGAAGTGGGACATGCCCAACACCTTCTCTGTATGTTAACAGAGTCAGCTCTGTAGCCTCGCTGTTAACGCCAGCATTTCTCTTCCCGCTTGAGCATTGCCTGTCTCGCCGCCTTGAAAAGATACAACGAGTGTCTCCAGATGGTCAACGAAGAGGTGGTTCGGGATCAGACGAACGCGGATCTTTTTGTCCTCAGGGCTCGGCTCTATGAATACTTTGGGAAGGTAGGTACCAATCGGGTCTGTTTCGCTTTGCTTTGCCAGCTTCTTCAAGGTCTTCCTGTCACTCTGCGTAACTTGGGCAAGACTACTTAGCAGGGGTGCAGGGGAGCCCTTTGCACACGCCCCTGTCCGTATGGCCGTGAGCACTGTGTAAATGCCACCGTATGTGCAAAGACACCATTCTGGCCGCTATAATTCAGTAGTGATGCGCTGCTGGCCAGAGGCTTAGATCGCTTTAACAGAGACCTTTGGGCAATTCATGGAGCAGTTCAATGGCTCGGTGAAACTCCTGTGTTCGGAGCACTTTTGTGGGACAGCAACAGACCTTGGACTTCTGTTGTTGTGCTAGTAGGCTTTTGGGAAGCATCTGGTTGGCCGCACAGTGAAACAGGATGCTGGACCAGAAGAACTTTTGGTCTGACCAAACTAGCATTACCTACCTCAAAGTGCCGTCTGGAATTCTCCCAGAAGTACAGTTGATTTCCAGTGATTGGTTCCTGTGGAGGAAATGGACTTTATGGTATACCATAGAATCTTGGAGGAACAGAAGTGCTGGAGGTGCTACAGAGGATGGATGCTATAGGACTTCTCTTTCTGAAATGGTATACCATAGAGCAGAGGTGTCAAACTCATTTGTTACGAGGGCCGGATATGACATAAAAGTCACTTTGTCGGGCCGGGCCGTGTGTGCCATAAAATGTAATGCCAAGTACCGGAGATATAAACTGTTTAAAGGACACAGATAAACCCAATTAACAATATTATTTTTTACTCAAAATACAAACAAAAGCAATTTATTCCTAGCAGTGAACCCACAAAAGCCCCAATAAATGTATTTAATGAAAGACTAGGATTTTTTCCAAGGGATACCGTAAAAGGGGGGAGTACCTTACATTTCCATACATACCAGTTGCTTGCGGGCCGGGTAGGAGCCCTGGATGGGCCTGTTCTGGCCCACGGGCCTTATGTTTGATTCCCCTTCCATAGAAATTAAGACAAACTGATTGACACCTGTAAAGATAATAAAGTGCAGAGGATGGTTAGGGACTGAAAGGGTGGAACTGCCATTGACTGGTGTCCTCGTATGGACCTTCAGAGTGAAGTTTTCTCCCCAACACTGAGAGAAACTGGATAGCAACCAGTCATACCAGCACAAATATTTGGAATCAAAAGGTCAGAGTCAGTAGTATAAACACAACATACGTGTCAGCAGGGGTCATTTCCTGCAGGAGCGCACAGGAGTGGAGCTCCAGCAGTAAAGAGCCCAGGAGGTGGGCACATGCAACAAGCCCCACCCCCTGCTCCCAGCAGCCCTCAGTCAGAGCAAGAAGCAGCCAGGTAAGCTGCGGAGGGCCCCCCCCCCCGGCCCCCTGGTCCAGAACAGTCCAGCGGCACCTTTAAGACCCAGTTTTATTCAGGTACAAGCTCTCCCTCCTCTGCGAGGACAGCAAGAACCGCACCCCCCCCCCCCCCAGTAGTTAGCAATCCAAAACAGTCCAGTGGGGCCTGAGCCGTGGGTGTTGCCTTCTGACACACTTCCAGTGATGTCAGGGGGTGTGGCGTATGCAAATAAGTTATGCTAATGAGTTATGCTAATGAGCTCCTGCACCTCTTCTTCTACGAAATGACCCCTGCGTGACAGAATCCTACAAGTAATGTAAGGTGGGAGAAAAGGTGGGCCGACGTGATATGAGGCAAGAAAGTTACGTTTGCATTCTGTGAGAGGAGTGACCCTTGACCTGAACGTTGACAGTCCAGAATGTGACATCACATACCTGGTGAGCTCCGTCCCCTTTCGAAGCACTGCCTCCAAATCTCCAGGAGTTTCCCAGGCCAAAGTTGGCAACGAAATCCACCATAGCTGCTTTTATACCCTTATATGTTCTTGGCTGAACTCCTAGCTTGTGCCGTATAGTGGGATTTTTGCAACACCAGAAATTGATTTTCTTGATTGGATCAGTCAGGGGTCATTTCGTAGAAAAAGAGCTGCAGGAGCTAATTAGCATAACGTATTAGCATAATGCATTTGCATATGCCACACCCCCTCTGGCCTAGCCTAGAATAACCCCGGATAACTCTCCCAGCTCTCTGGTCTTTCCAGGCATGCCTTAGGCCGGACAGAGTCTCTTCCTCTAAGAGCTGGGCAGGCCTGATCTGGCCCCTGAGGCCTGCTGGTGCTGGGGATAAGAAGTAATTTAAAAGGGAGACAGGACAGCAGCCCCAGAAAGCAGGCCTGGGGGGTTAATCTGGCCTGGGGGGTTAATCTGGGCCGGCCAGAGTTATTCTAGGCTAGGCCAGAGTAACCCCGGGGCTACTCTGGCGAGGTGTGTGTGTGAATCCGGCCTGTTACACCGGCATCTCCAGTTAAAAGGACAAGGAAGTAGGTGGTGTATAAGGCAGCTTCATGATGTCAGTACAAGAAAATATTTCATCATACAACTTGGATGTGTCGTGGTGACATCTGATAGCAGAGATGGCTTTTTAAAAACCCATGAAAAATTAGTCACAACAACTGTTAATCGTGGTGGTTAAATAGATCCTCTGTCTGCTGAAGCAGTATACCTCTGAGCACCAGATGCAGGAGGAGAATAAGGGGTGGTGATGATGGCTTTCTCCTGTATGACGTAGCTCAGTTTTGATTCTGGGTTTCAGACATCCTGGCTTGTTCTCTGGCACAGCCCTGCGACACCAGGGCTTGTTGAGGCCAAACCAGGATTTGACCGAATGTCTGAGAGCTAATGTCTGTGAGAGGAGCTGCGGTGGCTCAAGTGGTTAAGACGCTGAACTGCAGGCTGTGGAAGGTCAGTAGTTCAGCGGGTCAAGACCCGGGTGCCGCAAGACAGGGTGAGCTCCTGTCTCTAGTTCCAGCTCCTGCCAACCTAGCAGTTCGAAAGCAAGAAATTGCAAGTAGATAAATAGGGACCACTTCGGTGGGAAGGTAACAGCGTTCCGTACGCCTTGGTGTTTAGTCATGCCGGCCACATGACCACGGAAACGTCTTCGGACAGCGCTGGCTCTTCGGCTTTGAAACGGAGATGAGCACCGCAACCCTAGAGTCGGATTCGACTGGCTTTCGAGCAAGGGAACCTTTACCTTTACCTTACCTGAGAGCTAAATTCTTCTTTCCCAACTTACAGCAGTTAAAATGAACCTTGGTGTTACGTTATGTTTGAACTGAGCCAGTATATCTTGCATTCCATGGCCTTTTAAACCCCCCTGTTCACATATTGTCATTTTAAAAGATGTATACCGAGAAAATGTGCCTGAGAGATGGCTCTTTCTCTGTGTTGTGTTTGAATTTCTGCCAACCAAGGAATCCATTTCATGAGCCTGATGACATGGGGCTCTAGCTCATGAAAGCTTTTGCTTTGATCAATCGTCTAGGCTTAAAGGGTCACTCTTTTGTTGTTCTGCCCGTGTGGTTGCAGCGGTCTGAGCGTCAGACCAGGATCCAAATCCCCAGTTCTTCATGGAATGTTGCTTGGGATCGCCAGTGTCTCTCGCAGCCTAACCCACCTCACAGGGATGTTTTGATAAAATGAATAAGGCGAGGATGTTGTATGCTGGCCTGAGTTCCTTGAAGGAAGGGTAGAAATACTCTAAATAATTAAGTGATAAGTAACAACTCACATTCCTTCTTCTCCCTCTCCTGTCCACAGCCTACCCCCTGTTTTTATAATGTCCAAGAGGCTCTTGCAATAGATCCTGGGCACACCGAAGCTCAGCTTTTGCTGGAGAAGTTGAGGAAGAAAGCCCAGAAAAACAAGGCCCAGGCCGTAAGCAAGGCGTTGAAGGGAAACCTGCAGGGGGCGCTGTTGAAAATCAACCGTGCCATCGAGAACATCCCCCTGGACGCGGACTACTTCCTCTTCAGGTACCAAAAGAGCCCCTATGTTGGGAGCAGTGTTCCCTCTAAGCTGAGTCAGTGTGAGCTAGCTCGCTGTTTTTTTTAGCCTCCGGCTCACAGATTTTGTTTTAGCTCAGTAAGGATGGCTCCAGAGCAAACTAATTTATGCGGCAGCCAAATCGCTCACCCACAGCTTTCATGCCGGTAGCTCACAAAGTAGAATTTTTGCTCACAAGACTCCACAGCTGAGAGGGAGCACTGGTTGGGAGACAGCCGCTTCCTGTCCCGCTACCTCTATGTTGGGTGTGGTCTTAACGGGTCTGGGTGCATTCAGGCGTACCAAAAACGGGAGTCGCCAAAAGGCTTGGTTTGTTCTATTGGCCTGCTTTTGTGCCTCTGTCTACCGATTTAAGAATTTTATCGATAACTCTTTCAGAAGAAAATAAACGAATGTTTCCTGCATGGGGGCAAGCCGTTGGGGAGCGTGAATGTTTGCATTAATCAGCAAATCAAATGTTGACTTCATCAGTTGTCTGATGAAGTCAACTGATGAATGTTGACTTCATCAGTTGTCTGATGAAGCCACCCCACTCCCACCCTGCCACTTCAGGCGTTCTCTTTGATTTTTTAAAAATCACAGCTTGTATAGTCTCGTAATTGAATATTCATTCCTTAATTTTTTTAAAAGATGTGTTATTGCTGTTGCTATGGTATGGAGACAGAGGGTGAAGGGTGGCTCTACAAAGAACTAGCCAATCAGTGCTGTGCGAAGAGGCAGAATGGCTTTGTCCAATGGTTGGTCCTTAAGAGGAAGCAGTAACTCTGAACAAAATGCATTGAGTTTGCTTCCACAGCGGGCTCTCCGAATCATATACGTCTAGGCGCACCTCTTGACTCTGAGCTGAGGAGTCCTCAGATTCTCTTCTTTGAGTACAGGGTGTATATATGATTGGGGCCTTTCTTAGCCCTTGTTCTTGGAGCTTAGACTGCAAAGTGGACCGAGAAGCCAAGGAAACAAGGATTTGTTAATGGGCAGAGACATCACCCTGCCAACAAAAGTCTGCATGGTCAAAGCAATGGTATTCCCAGTAGTCATGTATGGCTGCGAGAGTTGGACGATAAGGAAGGCCGAGCACCGAATAATAGATTCTTTTGAACTATGGTGCTGGAGAAGACTCTTGAGAGTCCCTTGGACTGCAAGAAGATCAAATCAGTCAATCCTAAAAGAAATCAACCCTGACTGTTCCCCGGAAGGCCAGATAATGAAACTGAAGCTCAAATACTTTGGCCACCAAATGAGAAGGGAGCACTCACTGGAGAAGACCCTGATGCAGGGAAAGATTGAAGGTCAAAGGAGACAGGGACGGCAAAGGATGAGATGGTTAGACAGTGTCATCGATGCAACGAACATGAAGTTGAGCAAACTGGACAATGGAGGACAATGGAGGACAGGAGGGCCTGGCGGGAGATGGTCCATGGGGTCGCGAAGAGTCGGACTCGACTGTGGGACTGAACAACAACAAAACTGGATAATACAACGTTTGAGTAAGGATCCTGGGTGCTTTCTCTCTGGGGAAAAAATATTTCCTCCCATGTAGTTGGAGGCTGCTTCCTGTGCAGCCAGAGGACCAAATGTGCAGGAATGTACAGCCAGAGGACCAAATGAGGACATGGTGCTGCCTTGCACTGTGTCTCCATGCCCCACTGCCAACACCACTTTACACATTACACCACACACAGGTTGGGTCCAGGGTAGGGTTGTCAGCACTGCCTTGGCAAATGCTGGGAGATTTTGAAAGTAATGCACAGAAAGGGTGGAGACTGGAGAGGATACGATGACACTTCTGGGTGATGCTCTAGGAAATGTCCCAAATCTCTATGGAAAAGACCATACAGACATGAGAAAATGCCCAGAACGTCACTACTGAGGCCATTTTTCTGGCCATTTGTCCTCCTGCTCTTCAGTTTTTCAAGGCCAGGGTTGGGGCCGAGGGTGGGGCTTTGTCTACTGTGAATGGGCAGATGGCAAGCCTCACCCAGGGTCTTCACTTTGAATCAGATGTGAGAAGAAGAAAAGGAGGAGGAGGAGGAGGAGATTGGATTTATACCCTGCCTTTCACTCGGAGTCTCAGAGCGGCTTACAAACTCCTTCCCCTTCCCCTTCCCAAAAAAGACACCCTGTGAGCAATGTTCCCTCTAAGCTGTGGAGTCTTGTGAGCAGAAATTCTACTTTGTGAGCAACTGGCATTAAAGTTGCGAGCGAGCGATTGGGCTGCTGCATAAATTAGTTTGCTCTGGAGCCATCCTTCCTGAGCTAAGACAAAAATGTGTGAGCCGGAGGCTAAAAAACTGTGAGCTAGCTCACACTGACTCAGCTTAGAGGGAACACTGCCTGTGAGGGAGGTGGGACTGAGAGAGCTCTTTCCAGAACTGTCCTTGCCCAAGGTCATCCAGCAGCTGCAAGTGGAGGAGTGGGGAATCAAACCCCGTTCTCCCAGATTAGAGTCCGCTCACTTAACCACTACACCAAACTGATTGCAGAATCTCCTCAATTGTTGCACAGGAGGTGCCCAGTTCAGAATATGGCTGTTCCACACATGGAGAACAGGCCTCAGGCTTCCCCCTCCGCCATTTATTTGGTCCAAAACAGTCTGTAGGGGTGGTATTCAGTCCATTGGTGGAACCCATGAGTGTACTCCATTTCAAAGAGGCCCTTAGAGGCACCCATGATGGGGAACGGATTGGGCAGACCCAAATTTTAACTCCCACATAGATTTGAACCCACGCAGAAGTGCCGCTAAGCTCTCCCCCATCCCAGGTGACGTCCCTCGTTTCCCCTCTTTCTCTCCCCCCGGCCTTTCCTTTCCGTTCTTGTGGTCCCTACGTCAGGGGGAGCATTCTGCGGCGCCTGAAAGACTTCAGCGCAGCCATCGATGATTACCTCAAAGCGGTGGAGATCGGCAAAGCAGAGGAAGGCAGCCAGGCCAGCGCGGAAGCCTGGGCACAGGTGCTGTTGACGTACAACGACTTCGCAGTCCACTGCTACACCAAGGGCTTCTACGAAGAGGCGGTCTTGCTCCTCAACAAGGCCATCAAGGGGGAGAAGAAGGCGAAGGGGCTATACATCAACAGAGGAGGTGAGCGGTAGGGGGGGGGGGAAGCACAAAATGTGGTGTCTGGTTGCAAAGGGCAGTTTCTCAAGAAGCTCGCCTTTAACTTGCAAACAAAACAAGTTTCTAGTCCTTTGGACTTGTGAAGGTATGCTTGAAAGTGTAGATCGATTCAGGTGGGGTAGCCGTGTTGGTCCGAAGCAACAAAGTTTTAGTCCAGTGGAACCTTTAAGACCAAGAAAGTTTTATTCTGAGCAGGGCTATTTTTGGGCAGGAACGCACAGGAACGGCGTTCCAGCTGGCTTCCAAGCTGGCCACACCCAGCATGAATGCATTAGCATAGAGTACCAAAATAGGCCACACCCAACAGCAGAAACTCATTAGGATTGGCTACATTAGGGGTGTGTGGCCTAACATGCAACGGAGTTCCTGCTACAAAAAAGCCCTGGGTTTGGACAACAAACAAGGTAAACAGAATAAGAAGCAAAAGGTGGGTGTGGCTGGATGAACACACTTCTGGTAACATGGGGGAGTGGCCTAATATGCCAATGAGCTGTGCTTTCAGGGGTGTGGCCTAATATGCTAATGGGTTTCTGCTGTTGGGTGTGGCCTATTATGCTAATGAGTTCCTGCTGGGCTTTTTCTACCAAAAAAGCCCTGATTCTGAGTATAAGCTTTTGCGTGCATGCACGCTTCTTCAGATACCTGAAGATACAGATACGTTGCCCGCTGATCTTTCAGAATTTCCTACTTGTATCTGACGAAGGGAGCTTTGACTTTTGAAAGCTGATACCCTGGAAATCTTGTTAGTCTTTGTGAAGAGAGGTGGTCCCCTCTGTATCAACCAGCCGGACAGTTTAAGCATCAGCCTTTGGCCATGTCATGTATCTAAAGCAATCCCGTTTCCTGATGTGCCATCCCAGTGTTAAAAACTGACATGGGGAGAGTTCAATGTCGAATGCTCACTGCTCTCCTGCTGTTCCCAAGCCAAGAGGGAAAGCTTGAGATCGCACCTCTGAATCTCAAAGTGGTCTGACTTCACTGCATTCATATGAAGAAGACGACGACATTGGATTTATACCCTGCCCTTCACTACCAGAAGGAGTCTCAGAGCGGCTTACAATCTGCTTTCCCTTCCCCTCCCCACAACAGACACCCTGTGAGGTCGGTGTGGCTGAGAGAGCTCTTTCGAGAACTGCCCCTGAGAGAACAGCTCTGAAAGAACATGTGACTGACTCTAGGTTACACCAGCAGCTGCATGTGGAGGAGTGGGGAATCAAACCCAGTTCTCCCAGATTAGAGTCCGTGCTCCTAACCACGACACCAAACTGGCCCGAAGGGGGGAGTCCTGCTATACTTTGAGCATCATCTTTTGATTCACATTCTTGATTGGCTTATTATTGGGCAGGGGGATCAGTGGTCCAGTTTCCTGTAAAGTTAGCTTATAACCATCCGGCACAAATTTTTCCACACATGGCCCACTAATAGCATCAATTCAGGACCAGTAATGGGCCAGGAACCATTACTTATGCTGATCTGAAGATGCTGTAAGCGGCCAGCCTTCATGTATGAAAGTATGTGTGAAGGTAGACGTTGTTATTTTATTGCACCTGCTTATTCTTGCCTTACGCTTAATGCCCGAAACACTTTTAAAATCTTTTGAATGAAGTTTTCCCCCTCATAGACAGCTTCAAGAGGGAATTGGATAAACATCGGGAGCAGAGCTCCATCAGTGGCTATTAGCCACAAGGTCTAGATGGAATCCTATGTCCGGAGTAGTGGTTCCCTGTATTCTTGGTGCTTGGGGGGCCACAGTGGGGGGGCTTCTGGAGTTCTGGCCCTGCTGGTGGACCTCCTGATGGCACCTGGGTTTCGGCCTCTGAGTGAAACAGAGTGTTGGACTGGATGAGCCATTGGCCTGATCCAACATGGCTTCTCTTACATACTCTTCTGTTCTTATGTTCTAAGCCTGTTGCTTTTATTGGCATGTTCTGCTGCGAGTGTGAGAGTCCAAACCCAGAAGGGGATTTGTTCCAGGGTCCCAGGTCTGGGGACAGGGGAATCAAATCATTCCTGGAAGGACGAGGCGGGTTGGAAACCCTCGTCCTTGACAGTCTTTAAGATGCCACCAGACTCTAATCTTGCAAAGGTACTTAGAATCAGGCTTTGCACAGGCTTTGCTGTCCAGACTTCAGCTCTGAGGCCATTTTGGACATGCCAGAAGCATTTCTTTATCTGATCCTGCGCCACGGCAGAGACCGTTCATTAAGATACTCGCGAGTCCTTTCTGCCTGATTCTTGGCTGTCCTCCTCCAGATTGCTTCCTGAAACTGGGCGAGCTGAACTTCGCCATAGCAGATTACCAGCAAGCCCTGGAGGTGGGTCCCATCGACGCTGGCCTGCAGAAGCGCATCTCTTGGCTGTACAACGAGATGGGACTCCAGGAGTTCAGGAAGAGGTATGCCGGGATATGCAAAAGTGCAGGGTTCAGCCTCCACCAGGGCTATTTTTGGGCAGGAACACACGGAGTTCCGGCTGGCTCCCAAGTTGGCCACGCCCAGCAGGAACTCATTAGCATAATAGGCCACACCCAACAGCAGAAACTCATTAGGATTGGCTACATTAGGGGTGTGTGGCCTAACATGCAAAGGAGTTCCTGCTACAAAAAAAGGCCCTGGGTTTTGACAACAAACGAGGTAAACAGAATAACAAGCAAAAGGTGGGTGTGGCTGGATGACCACACTTCTGGTAACATGGGGGTGCGGCCTAATGTGCTAATAAGCTGTGCTGTCAGGGGTGTGGCCCAATATGCTAATGAGTTCCTGCTGTTGGGTGTGGCTTATTATGCTAATGAGTTCCTGCTGGGCTTTTTCTACAAAAAGAGCCCTGGCCGCTAAGGGCACAGTGCAGACACATACACACACACAAGAGCTCCTGACGAGATTAAGTCAAGTACTTTTATTGCACGGACTCATTGCAAACAAGCAAACACAGAATCGTAAAATCACAAGACAAACAGCTGCATCGGCCAGCTGTAGTATAAAATTCACAACCACAACTGCAAAGATTAATTTCATAATTTCTTCCGTAATAATAAACCACCCTGTAAGAAAAGACACTTATCATAATAAAACTATTCATCAGTAGGACTTTCAGCAAGAGATCGTAACTTTATCTTAGTCTTAACAATCACGGCCATGAATTTTGCCATTTGCAACGTTACCCGTTTATTTCTGTCTGCCAGTAGCGTTACAAATGTATTCAGATCCGATCCCCCTGACAGTCGTAATAAGATATTCCCAAGGTTATCTTTCCTGCTCCTCTGTAAACCTTGGGCACCAAAAGGTCACACGGGCCCAGACCTTCAATAGTTCTACGGTCGTAAGAGCAAGCACGTTCATCGAATGGAGTCCTATTAGGGTGGCCCTTCACTACTGACAGTTGTAAAATGTCCATGTGAGCCTTTGTAGACAAGATTAAACAATGGCACAAATGTGCTGCTGCATCCGGCAGGGTGTGCATATTGAGGTTAAAACTACATAAGACACTGCAGATCTGAGACCAGATCGCCTCTCTCTTTTGGTATCTAGAAACGGCAGTGCGTGTGTGTGCACGCAATTTAGATTAGGATGCTGGTGGAGAGGAGGGGTTAAACCCCCCCCCCCGCACCATTCCCCCCTGAGATGCTATCTGTTTTCCTACAGAGGAACATTAGCACCTCCAGGGGCTGAAGAGGGTCTGGGGGAGTGCTGCTTCTTGGTCCAGTCTGCATCTAGCATTTGCTCTGCTGTTATACCAAACCCACACTGGAACAGAAATTCCCAGTCTACATTGCATGCCACTTTCACTTTGATTGAGTGTCGCATTTTATGGCAGTGTCCAGACTGCATGCTGCTTTCACTTTGTTTGATCTCTGGTTTTATGGTGGCTGTCTACAGAGATTTATGGCCACTTTATGGCCATTGGGGGGGGGTGACTCTGCAGTCAGTAAGGTGTTGGCCTGGAGTAGTTGGTCGAATCTGCGTTTCCATCTTTAAATTAGTTTCATGCTGCTGTGACACCATCTTTCTCTATGCTTGTTTGAATGTTGTTTGGAGAAGATTCTTTTAAAGCAGTGCAAAGGTGCAATGACAGTGGAGCCGCCCCAAAAGGACGATAAGCATCTGTGTATGTGCAAAAGTATGCTAGCACTCTTGAGGTGTGAAAACGACACCAAATGTAGACAGCTTTTTTGAAGACGGAGTCAAAAGGCTGGGACACCGGTGGGAAAGACAAATGCAGATTCAGCTGTTGAATGTGGTTTTGAACTGCGTCTTTTTCTATTCCAGTGTGGGTTTGGAATAGCAACTGAGCAAATGCTAAATGCAGATTGGGCCTTACGTCTTTCCCATTGTTCTGATTTAGCATCAGATACTCAGCGCAGGAAGCTGCCACCCAAAGGCAGCCTATAAAGACTATGATCTGGAAGTCCCAGGTTCGATTCCCCACTGTTCCCCACAGAAGCTCGCTGGGTGGCCTTGGGCAAGTCACTCTTCTCTTTCTCAGCCTAATCTACCTCACGGGGTCGTCGTGAGGATAAAATGGAGGAGAGGAGATCGATGCTTTCCATCCCCATTAGGGAGAAAAGCAGATTGTATACATATTTAAATAGATAAAATGATAAATAGCCAGCAGCCTGGAGGACTGAAAGTTGGTATCAAAATATTGAAACAGACACGTACCAAAAATAGGAGAACAGTGTCTCTGTAGGTGATCTACCCATATTCAAAGAGCTGGTTTTGACTTCTGGGGCTCTACCTGGCCAGGGACCGTGGTATTTATTTATTTATTCTACTTGTATCCTGCCCTCCCCACGAGACAGGCTCAGGACGGCTTACATAAAATACATAAAAGTATAAAATACAGGGGTCGTTTCGTAGGAAAAGAGCTAGGGGAACTCATTAGCATAACTCATTAGCATATGCCACACCCCCTGACATCACCGGAAGTGTGTCATAAGGCCACACCCCCTGACATCACCGGAAGTGTGTCATAAGGCCGCCCCCCTGACATCACCGGACGTGTGTCATGAGGCCACACCCACCACTCAGTTAGCCTTAGTCTTAAAGGTTAGTCTTAAAGGTGCTATTTGTTAGTCTTAAAGGTGCTATTTGAACTCTTGGACTATTTTGCAGCAACAGACTAACACAGCTACCTCGGGGAAGCTCCTGGATGGGGCTGGGAGTCCTTGCGGAGGCCACGTGGAGTGGCCTCGGCCAGGCAGAGGGGGAAGACGCCAACTTACCCTCCTGCTTCTTCCTCCTTCTGCAACAGAATGAGGCTGGAAGCAGGGGGCTGCCGGAAGAAGGGGCGGGGCTTCGTTGTGTGCCCCGCCCCCTTGCACCTTACACGGGGGAACTGCGATCCCCCGCGTTCCCCCCCCGAAATGACCTCTGATAAAATACATAGAGCGACATCTATGTTGGATCCGGCCCTCGTAGCGAATGAGTTTGACACCTCTGCTATAGGCTGATCCTGCACTGAGCCGGGGGCTGGAGTAGATAGCCTGTATGGCCCCTTCCAGCTATATGGTTCTGTATGGTTCTCCCCTTGCCACCTCTCCACTCTCAGGTACCCCCTTTCAAGGTGGCTTTTCAGCCCTCCAAAGGACAATCGGGCTATGTTTTATACGTGTTTGTAATGCGCCGGTTGCCCTAAGCTCCCGGCCAGCCTCCGACTCCCGGGTGCATTCTCCCTTTCAGACGATACCCGGAGGCAGAGGCGTATTTCTCCCGCGCGATCGAGCACAACCCTCTCGAGCTCCAGCATTACCTGCATCGGTGCAAGACCCGGATGTTTCTGCAGGAGGCGATGGGCGCCAAGGAAGACATCGCCACGGCCCTGCTCCTGAACCCCACGAGCGAGGAGGTATCTCTGTCCCTACGGGCATTTCTCTCCACCCTCCCCGACACTGGGGTGGTCTGTCTTATTTCCTTGTATCCTCCTTGCAGCAGTGAAGCCTCCCCCTCTGGCACCAGAGAGCGACAGAGACTGGCGAAAGGGCATTCTGAGAAGGACAGGTGGGGAGCAGGTGGCAGGCAGTGTTCCCTCTAAGCTGAGTCAGTGTGAGCCGGCTCACCGTTTTTCAGCCTCCGGCTCTCACATTTTTGCCTCAGCTCAGGAAGGATGGCTCCAGAGCAAACTAGTTTTTGCAGTAGCCAAACCGCCCACTCACAGCTTTAATGCCGGCAGCTCAGCAAATAGAATTTTTGCTCACGAGACTCCACAGCTTAGAGGGAGCACTGGTGGCAGATGGTGAGCAAGGGGCAGGAAGTGGCTAAAGAAAGAGGTTTTGGGGCTCTCTTCTGTCTGGAAAGGCCATGCAATGTTCCTACACACACACACACACACACACACACCAAATCCCTGAGCTATAAGGGCTAAGTGCTGAAGAAAATGCACTCTAGACGTGCTTAGGGGCTCTTTTGTCAAGTGCATGGAAAACACTAAGTAAACCCTGGGAGAAGGGAAGGGGTTCTCTGTGTTAGGGGGAATCGAGCACTCGATTGACTTAATAACCACAGTTTTGTCCTGGCGGTTAACACCAGTGCCTCAGTGAGCCATCTGTGTCCATCTGTATCCAAGCTGCACAAGCGTGCTTTGCTTGTCCCCCCTGGATACTACAAGAGCATGGGCTAGCATGCTCCCATCAGATCCCGGAAGCTAAGCAGGGTTGGTCCCGGTTAGTACTCGGATGGGAGACTACCAAGGAAGTCCAGGGTCGGTACGCAGAGGCAGGCCATGGCAAGCCACCTCTGAATGTCACTTGCCCTGAAAACTCCATGTGGTCGCCATAAGTTGGCAGGGACTTGATAGCACTTTCCCACCATCACCACCACCACCATGCTTTCTATATGGGGCTGCAGAAAGAAAGGAAATGTGCAACTGATTTGGGATCAAACAGTTAAGGTACGCTACTCTGGAGGTACTGCAGCAGTGCAAAACAGAAAAAAAATCTGCTTTGGCTAGTGGTTTAGTCCCAGGTTGGCTTGGATCTATCAGCCTTGGAAAGGAGAGTCTCCTGTTCAGAACAATGGACTCCCCCCCCCAGGCCCGTAGCTACAGTGGGGCATCTTGTGGCTATGCCCCCTGATTTACTGGCAAGGCCCCACAACGTCCCATCCAGCCCAGGGCCCCCAGGTGCAGGGAAGAAGAAGAAGAAGAGATTGGATTTATACCCCGCCCTTCACTTGGAGTCTCAGAGCGGCTTACAAACTCCTTTCCCTTCCCCTCCCAAGGGGTAAAAAGAGTACTGAAGGATGATATGGAAATGGCTGAGAAACTAAATGCATTTTTTGCCTCCGCCTTCACTGTGGAAGATGAGAAGTGCTTGCCCACTCCAGAACCGCTGAGTTCGGGAGGGGTGTTGAAAGACCTGAGTCAGATTAAGGTGACGAGAGAGGAGGTCCTAAAACTGATAGACAACTCAAAAACTGATAAATCACCAGGCCCAGATGGCATACATCCGAGAGTTCTGAAAGAACTCAAATGTGAACTTGTGGATCTCCTGACAAAAATATGTAATCTTTCCTTAAAATCAGCCTCCATTCCTGAGGACTGGAAGGTAGCAAATGTCCCATCTTTAAAAAGGGTTCCAGAGGAGATCCAGGAAATTACAGGCCAGTCAGTCTGACGTCGATACCGCGTAAATTGGTGGAAACCATTATTAAGGGAAGAATTAGTAGGCACATAGATGAACAAAACCTATTGAGGCAGACTCAGCATGGGTTCTGTAAGGGAAGATCTTGTCTCACAAACCTGTTAATGTTCTTTGGGGGCGTGAACAAACATGTGGACAAGGGGGATCCAATAGATATTGTTTACCTTGACTTCCAGAAAGCTTTTGATAAAGTTCCTCATCACAGTCAAACAACGGCCCTTCCTCTCCCTCTCTCAAGCAGCCAGGACTCTGCAACAACTCTAAGCACTTTCACACCCTCCCAGACCAGTCCCAGACCAGTTCTCCCACACAATATCCTCAGCTGAAATCCCCTCAGCTGAAAGCAAGTAAAAAAAACACTCACCCTCTAGCACCTCTGCCTCCTGCTCCTGCTCAGAGCTCAGCTGGGTCTCGAGCAAGGGAAACCTTTACCTTTACCTTTGCAAGATCCCTAGAGAGATCCAGGAGGATTCAATCTTATTTTTATTTAGGCACCAGGTGAAAACCTTTTTATTTGCTGAGGCTTTCAATGGCTAAAGTGTGCTTTTGCTTTGACAGTTGTTTTGTTGTGATTTGTGGATAGGCGATTTTATTCTGTGAGGCATTGGGGGGTACATTTTTAAGGTGGAAATGAGGCATATAAAGATACTTATAGGAAAAGAATGTCAGGACTGGAGTACCAGCATCCACCAGTAACAGGAAAAACAACTGCGGCAGGCAAAAGACTTCAGGTGCCCAGTTGGGGAGATCCTGATGGGGAAGTGAGAGATCTACCACGTCCTTTTCAGCTCTAGAATGTACCTGGGGCTTGCGTCTTGTGCAACTCAGTGTTTACTGCATCCTATGGAACTCATTGCCACAGGGTACTGGCTCAGTTGGCTTTAAAAGTGGAGTCAGAGGACTTCATGGAAGCTGGTTCCATCAATGGCTGAGAACAATAGAGGTTAAATGGAACCTCCATGTTTGGAGGTACTATACCAGGGGTGGCCAAACTGCAGCTCAAGAGCCACACGCGGCTCTTTCACACATATTGTGCGGCTCCCGGCAGGGCGGCTGGGGAAGCAAAGGGGAGGCAGGCTTTTTCTCCCTCCCTCCCTCCCTCCCTCCCTCCCTCCCTCCCTCCCTCCCTCCCTCCCTCCCTCCCTCCCTCCCTCCCTCCCTCCCTCCCTCCCTCCCTCCCTCCCTCCCTCCCTCCCTCCCTCCCTCCCTCCCTCCCTCCCTCCCTCCCTCCCTCCCTCCCTCCCTCCCTCCCTCCCTCCCTCCCTCCCTCCCTCCCATCTATTTGCTTTCTTTGTTTCTCTCTCTCTTTCCACCTCTCATTCTTTCTTTCCACCGCTCTCTCTCTTTCTCTCTCTCTCTTAGACAAATAAATATCATTAGCCAGGGGTCATTTCATAGAAAAAGAGGTTCAGGAACTCATTAGCATAACTCATTAGCATAACTTATTTGCATATGCCACACCCCCTGACATCACCAGAAGTGTGTCAGAAGGCAACACCCACCGCTCAGGCTCCACTGGACTGTTTAGGATTGCTAGCTATTGAAGGTGGGCCAGCGGGAGGGCTCTGCAATTTACCTGGCTGCTTCTTGCTCCTTGTGGGCCAACTGAGGGCTGCTGTGAGCAGGGAGTGAGGCTTGTTGCATGTGCCCATCCCCTGGGCTCCTTACTCCCGGAGCTCCGCTCCTGCAGGAAACTACCCCTGTCATTAGCAAACAAATAAATATAATTGGACAGATAAATATCATTATCAATATCTATTTTTACGCCTTTTATTTTTGGCAGCCTCATTTAATGTTAATAAAAAGCAAATTTGCATATTTTAAAATAAAAACATGTAGTATTTGTTCATGTCTTGTAGCTCTCAAACATCTGACATTTATTATATGTGGCTCTTAAGTTGAGCAAGTTTGGCCACCCCTGGCCTAGATGGACCATTGGTCTGATAAAATAATGGGAAGAAAGGGTTAGCTCCTGAATGCTGAAGAGGACAGTTATGCCATTGCAAATACTGAGGAAAGTGCAAAATGCCTAGATTGTTCTCTGTCCATTTACATCAGTGATAAGAACTGGTGTTAACACAGTGGCTGTGGTGCGTAGCTCTCATTTGAGAGGTTGCCAGGGCAAACCAAAAAAAGGCTGAGAGCACGAAGAAGAGGACAAGCAGTATGATGCAATCTATAAATGAACAAATTCAATTACATGCACAAGACATAACACCAGTAATCTAATATGTATGCAAATCCAAAACAGGAAACAATTGTGCATGTACAATAAAACAATGCCCACACTGCCAAATACAATAAAATGGAATGCCAAACGTGTTTCAGAACAAAGCCTTCATCAGTGGCTTATAAACATAATTAGCACAATCATATCTAACTCACATCATAAAAGACATAACAAATCACAAGAACCAGCAAGATAACCAGATTAATGTCTTGGAGTGAATTTAAATACTCTTTATACAAAATCAGTCTTCAAAGATTTCCACATCTGGGTACCTCTGGTCCAAATAACAACATGTGAATGTCTTGCCATGCCAATATCCCGGCAGTAATATAACCACTTCAAGTCTTACCTCAGCCATAAACTCAGTAGGTAGACGCTTTTAAAATATATATATATATATATATATATTTATAATAGGTGGGTGCTCTTTATCACCCTGCCCCACCATAGAGGGATAACACTGGCCTGCCTTACAGGAAAGTTGTTATAAGATTTCTGAGATAATGTACATGAAGCTCTTTGAACACTGAAATGCTAAAGATTATTATATAAATGAGATTTTCCACATTTTCATTTTCCTCACTTTTGTGCTCCTGTTGCTTCAGGGTATTTTTTCTGTTCCGCATGTAGTGGTCAATTTGATATTACATCACTTTATTTCTGGCATCTTTAAGCTGCAGCTTTTTATGCTGGACATGAAGCACTGTAATATCACGTTGACCACTAGAGGGAGCAAAACACATGCAGAACAGAAAAAAAAAATACCCCGAAGCAACGGGAACGCACCAGCGAGGAATGAGAATGCCGAAAAGTCCAATGTTACGGATGGCGTTTCTTTCCAGTGAACCAACTTTTCTCCTTTTTAATGTTTCTGTTTTCCGCAGAGCCACACTCTGGCAAACAGCCTTTTTGTAGGGGAGGACATTCAGACGATCATCCAGAGTAAAGTTGCAGATCTCGCTAAAGCTCTTTTGGAGCAAAGGCTGGAAGCCCGTCCCAAGTACGAAGCCCCGCCTGCTCCCGAAAGGTCAGTGTAAGCCCGGCGTATGATTCTGCGAGGTGGCGATCAATGCTCCCTCTAAGCTGTGGAGTCTTGTGAGCTGCTTGGCATTAAAGTTGAGAGAGAGCGATTTGGGCTGCTGCATAAATTAGTTTGCTCCGGAGCCATCCCTTCCTGAGCTAAGACAAAAATGTGTGAGCCGGAGGCTAAAAAACTGTGAGCTAGCTCACACCGACTCAGCTTAGAGGGAACCCTGGTGGGGATATCTCCTGCCTTTGTTGCTTCTCTATAGGGGACTAGAGAGATGTTTACCAGGAGATGAGGCAACAAACAAGTCATGGTCCTCAAAAAGATTTCTTCAGTGCGCTACCTCCGCCTTCCGTTGCAGAAACAGAAACAGCTAATAGGCTGCTACCTAACCTAAGAGAGTCTCGCCTCCTTATGTCCCCTTATATGAAATTTTCCAGCTTCTCTGTATCAATTGTCATGGCTTCACAGCCAGGTCCCACTTATGGACAACATTTCCTTGAGTGCCCAGGCCACTGGTCATGGTGCTTGTGGCTACTGGACAGAATTACAAAATACTGAGACGGGAGTACCCGGAGAGTTATTCTAAATTAGAGATGGGTGACTGCAGGCTCACTCTAAACCTGAACAAAACCACTGGCCCTAAGAACCTCTTTCCCCTTTGTTTGCTTTCTAAGAGCCCTTTGGCAAAGGCCTCCCCTTCATATGTATCTCAGCCTTTCATGCTGAGTCTGGGCAAAAGGCTCCTACAGTGCAACCATGACGCCTGATACGACTTCAGCTTTCAAAGATGACTGACAGGTGTATATCATTGCAAGGGGCTAGAAAATTACTTCTCTAATCCAGTCAAAGTGAGCTTTTGGAAGTCAAAACCACATTATATACGTTGGTTGCTTTTTAAGAGAATGATCAGATTAATTGGGGAGACCTTTTTCAAGAGGTGCTTCAAAAGCATCCAGGGTGCATAACGTGACTTTGACAGTGTAGAGGAAGCAACTCACTGGCCCTTGGAATGGCATAACCCAGACAAAATCACATTAACTACCTTCGATGGTTTGTAAGAGCCCTTTGCTTCATAATTCTTTTTTTTTTGTTAGTTTAAAGGTCAAATTTATTAGGAGATTAAGAGATGTATTATACATGGACTATAAATACAGCACAGCTGACTTTATTCACAGTCAGACGCAGAGACAGCCAATGCCAACCTATTTTGTGGACACCCTTGTTCTTTTGTTCCAAGAAAAGTTTGCACCATAAGACTTGGATTTAGGTTTTGGAATCCTCCGCTCTTGAACATCATAGCTCCAGCCATTTTTTTTTTCAGCAAAGGCAATAGCATCTTCTTTTGTAGCAAAGGAAAGAACAAGATTGGACAAAGGATCTGCCGAAGACGCCCAGCCCATCAACGGGTTTTCCCAGCGCTCCCTCGTGTCAAATTCCATCTTCCATTTTTTGGTGTTGTTGACACCTGCTTGCATGGCATTACGGGCCGGAACAAAAATGTGAACTCTTCTGGTTTTAATATGCTCCTCTGGTACACCAGTCAAAGGTGTAATGTCCAATTTCTCATCGACTGTGATGAGCTGCATGTCTTGGGCTTGGTCCTGTGCCAGCTGCCACGTGGAAGTGTTCAGTGACCTGGCCGGAGTCGAGGAGACCCCGCCGGCGGCTGCTTCCGCTCTTGCCCCCCGCACGAGGTGTCTTGCCCAAGCGGCTGACATTGAGAGCTCCCGCAGCATGAATGGTTGCAGTACATATTAAGGGGAGAGGCCTTTGCAAAAGGCTGAGCATTAGCAACGCTGATGCAGTAGATGAAACACAAGTGCCTAGAGATTCGCTCTCCAAAGGAAATGGAAGGGCCAATCCAATGCACAAACATGAGTCACATCCCTGTGAATCGCAGCCGTGGCTGCACGTTTGAATGAAGGTGGACGGAGAAGCTTCTGTAGGTTCTCTCTTCCAAAGGAGAAAAAAAAACCCTTTGGTGTTTTTCAGTCGGCAGACGGCAAGCATCCACAACTGTTTACAGGTGCGGAGAAATTCTTTGGTTTGTTAGGCTTTCAAGAGGCGGGGAAAAGCACTGGAGGGAATGAGAACACAAAGTGGCAGAGCAAGTGGGTAATTTTTATAGTGACCCTCAATACAAATATAATAATCAGGGGTCATTTTGTAGAAAAAGAGGTGCAGGAGCTCATTAGCATAACTTATTTGCATATGCCACACCCCCTGACATCACCGGAAGTGTGTCAGAAGGCAACACCCACCGCTCAGGCTCCACTGGACTGTTTTGGATTGCTAGCTATGGGGGGGGTGGACGTGCAGATCTGTCCTCGCAGAGGAGGGAGAGCTTGTACCTGAACAAAACTGGGTCTTAAAGATGTCAGCTAGCTGCCATTTCTGTGTTGTTTACCCTTCCCGCTTGCCTGCAGCTCCACAGCTTGCCGTAAACATGCCAGGGAGGCCGTGGGAACTATACGCCGTTATCAGTCTGGCCTTGTGAAGTAGGGGAGGGCTTGGGGTCCACATTTGGTGTGAATTTTTCTGCTCTCAGGAAACCCTGCGACTCTCCCGCTCATTATGTAATCTCCCGCCAGGAGTCTTCCCCCGCACACGCGCACTCGAAGTTCATTTGCTTAGCTAATTGCCTTGCCCAGCTATATGTATTGGGATGTTCCCGCCTTCTAGTTATTCCTAACAATAATCCTGTGGACATGGTACCAGTCTTCTACACTAATAAAGCATAACACTTCTTAGGAAACGTGTGTGAAGAGTTACTTGCTGTGGAACCTGACAAAAGGTGCCACTGGACTGTTTTTCGTCGGGGGGCTGGGGGGAGCTTTTCAACTTACCTGGCTGCTTCTTGCTCTGACTGAGGGCTGCTGGGAGCAGGGGGTGGGGCTTGTTGCATGTGCCCACCCCCTGGGCTCCTTACTGCCGGAGCTCCGCTCCTGTGCGCTCCCGCAGGAAATGACCCCTGACAATAATTACAAGATGTCTTGTTATAAAGATTGCAAATTTGCACTGTTATTTTTTTTTCTCATCATGCCTAGTACATTTTTTTGTATCTCTGTTTTGTCATGTGTTTTCGAGGGTGGTCTCTTCTGTTTAACTGAGAGTTGTCTGCACAGACTTTCAGGAGATAACAGAGTAACAAGGGAGCATTCAGTGGGGTTAGCTGGGTACCAGAAGGCTCATGTCAGACCTCGGCGTCGGGCTGGAGTCCAGGGCTGCCTTCCTTCTCCAGGGTTCTTTTAGGAGGGCTTGTTTTGGGGGAAGAAAGAGCAGGGGGGGTGTTACGGCTCTTCTTCCCTCTCCCTTTTGTACCCTCTCCCTAGTTGCCTTAGGTGAGGTCTGGCCCTTCCTCCCCGGTTCTCCCGGGGTGCACCTTTTGAAGGACCGCCCAGGGGTGGGACAAGTCTGGCCTCACCCTCTCCCTCTATCCTGGGGGACGGGCCTATGGGAGTGGCGGGTCCTAGGCCCAATGGGCAGCTGTCTGCCTGGGATCCCAGTTCCCCTGCCCCTCCTCTGACCCCTGCTGGCCCAAGGCAGTCACTGCATCCTGTTCCTGCCCCACTCGTCCAAAGAAGCCTTCCTGGCTCTCACAGCAGATGACCATTGCTTGTGGTGGGTTCTGCCCGCCCCTCTGCCACCCTTGTTGCCTCGTGCCGCTGCTGCTGGCCAACCCCTGGTCTACCTGGCATTTCTAGGAAGCTGCTCCTGCGGCGTCATATTTGGTTTCTGCAGCCCTTCCTGGATGATTTCCTTTGCACAGTCTGGAGGCCTCTGTCTCCTTGGAGGAAAGTGTGGAGGCGTGGGAGGCCTGACCTCAGACAGCACGGCAACAGTAGATCAACAAAAGCGAACAGTTAAATGTAAGAGTTAAGGAAAAGTATTATAAATGTTTGGCTCAGTTTATAATAATCTAAACGAAATGAAGATTTGTTGTAACTAAGTTAGTGAGGATCTCCTCTCTTGGTGGTTCAAGTGAGGGTCTCCTCTCTTGGTGGCTTAAGATGCTGAAGTGCAGGCTGTGGAAGGTCGGTAGTTCAGCAGTTCGAGACCCGAGTGTGCCGCATGACGGAGTGAGCTCCCGTCTCTAGTTCCAGCTCCTGCCAACCGAGCAGCTCGAAAGCAAGAAATTGCAAGTAGATAAATAGGGACCGCTTCGGTGGGAAGGTAACAGCGTTCCGTGCGCCTGGGTGTTTAGTCATGCCGGCCACATGACCATGGAAACGTCTTCGGACAGCGCTGGCTCTTCGGCTTTGAAACGGAGATGAGCACCGCAACCCTAGAGTCGGATTCGACTGGCTTTCGAGCAAGGGAACCTTTACCTTTTTAAGCTAGTGAGGATCTCCTCTCTTGGGTTTTTAGTTAGTAGTGGGTTCTTTGCTTTATCCTATATATGTAGTCCCCCTTCCCTTTTTTCTGTAGTAGTTTTTGTAGTATTATCCTAATAAAAAAAAAAAAAAAAAATCCCCTCCCGGGGGCTAAAAAAAAAAAAAAAAAAAAGCAAAGCAAAACGGGAATCTGAGGTTCACCTTCCAAGTGCTGCTCGCATCCAGACCCGCCTTTCTCCGCTGCGGCCTTCTGACCGATCTGGCTTCCTTCCCTTTCCAGATTCCGACTAGCGGCCGATCAGCCGAAAGAGGAGTCCTCCCGGAAGGAAGAAGGGCTGCTGGAGAACCCGGCAGGGGACAGGCATCACTTGGAAGCAAAGAGACTGTATCAGAGGCAACTGGCCTGCTGGAAGAAAGCAAACCGAGTAAGTCATTCCCTCTAGCAGGGCAAGGCGGCATCTCTCGGTCTTTAGGGCAGCGGGTGCTTCTGTGAATGCAGTTTAAAATCAATTCGGTCGGCAATTCTTACAGAGATTGCTTCGGAACACGGACTTTTAAAACATTCTGAAAACAAGCCCAATCCCTGACTGAGCAAGCCAAATACAGCCACATCTGGCTTCCTGACTCGGGGCTCTTCCGCATTTCCAGTTTTCTTCCTTGTGTGTTGCTTTGGGTTGTTTTTTTTTTTCTTTTCTGAACGCATTTTGCTCCCTTTAGTAGTGGTCAACAGGACAGCAACAATGGGAGCCGAGCCGTCACATGGCAGGATACATGCAGCACTTGCTATGGTGGGTTGTCAAAGGCGGTTGAAGGTCTACTTTAAAGCAACACAAAAAGTTAATTTTGCAAACAGCTCATCTCCAAATGGAACTGTGCTTGGCAACAACGTCAGCAGACAGTTCACAATATCTTTACTCTTCTGCAAGACAGAGACGTTCCGCCAAGCAACAGTTTTAACAGCAACCAGCCTATTAGCTGCTTTCTTACCCCCTCTCCTCCCCCCCCATATTAATGTAAATTGGGTGTTAGAAATTTTGCACTATGGCACCATGTAGATGTTAAACTACACCAGTTTCGTGTAGTGGTGAGGATCACAGACTCTGATCTGGGAGAACCAGGTTTGATTCCCCACTCCTTCACATACAGTTGATGGTGTGACCTTGGGTCAGTCACATGTTCTGTCAGAGCTGTTCTTGAAAGAAGAGGAGATTGGATTTATACCCCACCCTTCACTACCCAAAGGTGTCTTAGAGCAGCTTACAAACTCCTTTCCTTTCCCCTCCCCATAACAGACACCCTGTGAGGTAGGTGGGGCTGAGAGAGCTCTGACAGAAACTGCTCTTTTTCAAGAACAGCTGTGCCAGAACTATGGCTTGCCCAAGGACATCCAGCAGGTGCAAGTGGAGGAGTGGGGAATCAAACCCATTTCTCCCAGATTAGAGTCCATGCACTTAACCACTACACTAAACTGGCTCTCAGTTTGAAAGAGCAGTCCTCAAAAGAGCTCTCTCAGCCCCACCTGCCTCACAGGGTGTCTGCTGTGGGGAAAGGAAGGGAAAGGAGATTGTAGGCTGCTCTGAGACTTCAAGTGAAGGGCGGGGTATAAATCCAATCTTCTCTTCTTATTAGGTTTTATGGCTTGGTATTTTGGACTGTTTTAATGTCTTTTCATATGAACTTGTTGTACACCACTCTGAGCCCACTCGCAGGGAGGGCGGTAAAGTAGTTTAATGAAATAAAATAAGTAAATAACCCCCATTGGATTATATGTCAGAGAAGTCTTTGAAGAGGTTTCAGCTTTGTCCTGCCTTACAAATGTGGGAAGGGGGAGGCTCAGGTTCATATCCACCTTTGGAAAAGTGTTGCATAACACAAGTGACAGGCTTGGCTAATTTAGTCACCCCTTTACTGAAAGATACGGAACTGCTAAATGTGCGAGCCCAGGTGTCATGGCTGCTATTGGATCCCAATGACCGTGTCACCCTCTCAGTGGCAAAATTCATAGGCGCAGTAATCAAATATAAGAGAAATACTACTAAGGTCTTTTAAAATATTTTCTTTGGTTCTGATTTCTGCTTAAGGTGATAGCCGTGTGAGCAGTGATAGATAGATAGATAGATAGATAGATAGACAGACAGACAGACAGACAGACAGACAGACAGACGTGACAGGCTTTTGGGCGGCTTGTCGTTATTTGTCAAAAAGCCAGTGCAGAGAGCATCAGAACCACCTGTCATGATCCGTGCAGGACTGGGAGCAGGGCCTGGTGCGGTCTGGTCCCAGGAGAGACCTGCATGGCAGTGAGCAGACAGCCTACAGTCCCCATAAGGCTTTTGTTGTTGTTGTTCAGTCGCACAGTCGAGTCTGACTCTTTGCGACCCCATGGACCAGATCACGCCAGGCCTTCCGGTCTTCCGCCGTCCTCTGAAGTTGGCTCAACTTCATGTTCGTTGCATCGATGACACTGTCTGACCATCTCATCCTTTGCCGTCCCCGTCTTCTTTGACCTTCAGTCTTTCCCAGCATCAGGGTCTTCTCCGTAAGGCTTAGCAATGGGCTATAGCCAATCAGAGAGGAAGATTCTGTGAGGAGACTGTTGAACTGTGTGAGGAGAGTCGGTCTTAGCCATTAACGGAGGGAAAACCGGGTGTTCTTTCGGGTCTCTCTCTGCGGCCTGGTCTCACCGTGGGGACAGGCTGGTCTGGGAGAGAGGGAGATCTCCGCTGGGCTCAGCGTGGGTGCTAGGCAGGCTGGGGGGGGGGGGCTGGAGGGGAAAAAAGGGGGGCTCAGCGTGGGTGCTAGGCAGGCTGGGGGGGGGGGGCTGGAAGTAGAAACAGGTGGCTGCGTTAGTTTATGTTTATTTTGCCTTTTCACACTGTTATACCCTTTTTAAGCACCTCGCCTTGTCTTGTTTTCCCCGCCCCAGTGTTGTTTTTAATAAACCCTTCCTGTGTCATTATTTTCTCTGCCCGGGTCAATCACGCCCGTGTGTTCTCTGCTGAAAAGAGGGCATGTTGGGTGTGCTTGAGAGGGTGCCCTGGGCCTTCTCAACAGGGACCATAAGTCCAGGGTGGCGGTGATGGTGGAGGGTGGAGACCCCCTGGGGTCATGATACACCCTCAGAAAGAATCGTTTGCTTTTTGAAAGAGTGCATCTTGGCTTGGTCTTAAAGATGCATACGGCACCTTGGCAGGGTATGGGGTGCCGTTAAGCATCGGGGCCAAACCGTTTGAACCCAAACCCTGGGTCTCCCCTTCTCTTCTCCACGGGCCTCAGATTCTCTCCCACGCTTCTCGGTCAGGCAGCTCGTAGCCAGTTTGGTGTCGTGGTTAAGGGCGCGGACTCTAATCTGGGAGAGCCGGGTTTGATTCCCCACTCCTACACTCACAGCTGCTGGATGACCTTGGGCAAGCCACAGTTCTGATAAGAGCTCTCTCAGCCCCACCAGACTCACAGGGTGTTTTTTGTGGGGAGGGGAAGGGAAAGGAGTTTGTAAGCCACTCTGAGACTCCTTTGGGTAGTGAAGGGCGGGGTATAAACCCAATCTCCTCTTCTTCTTTCAAGAACAGCTCTGACAGAACTTGTGACTGACCCAAGGTCACACCATCAGCTGTTTGGTGCAGTGGTTAAGTGCGCGGACTCTAATCTGGGAGAGCCGGGTTTGAATCCCCACTCCTCCACTTCCACCTGGCTGGATGACCTTGGGCAAGCCGTAGTTCTGATAAGAGCTGTTCTCGAAAAAGACCTGTTTCTGTCAAGAGCTCTCTCAGCCCCACCAGTCTCACAGGGTGTTTCTTGTGGGGAGAGGAAGGGAAAGGAGTTTGTAAGCCGCTCTGAGACTCCTTCGGGTAGTGAAGGGCGGGGTATAAATCCAATCTCTTCTTCTTCCACGCTTGGCCCGCTTCTCAAATAAATGCACGCTCTGGTTTGCCAAGAGGTTTTTTTTGGGGGGACTGCCCCTGAAGGGAGGGAAAGGGGCCATGAGCTCAGTTTTCCAAACCACGGTTGGATCGGCAATGTTACAGCCTCACTGGCTCAGAAACAGCCTACTTGGAACAGCTTGGCTCCCATCAGATTTCTCCCTCACAGGAGTAAAATTAGTGTGGAAGAGATTCAAAAGGATTTTCATGTGAGGGACGCTTCCGAGCCTACCACTCTACACAGTGTGTGACTGCAATAAAGAAGGCCAATGCTATGCTGGGGATTATTAGGAAGGGTATTGAAAACAGATCAGCCAATATCATAATGCCCCTATATAAATCAATGGTGAGACCTCATTTGGAATACTGTGTGCAGTTCTGGTCACCACACCTTAAAAAGGATATTATAGCTTTGGAAAAAGTGCAGAAAAGGGCAACTCGAATGATAAAAGGGTTGGAACACTTTCCCTATGAGGAAAGGTTAAAGCGCTTAGGGCTCTTTAGCTTGGAGAAAAGACGACTAAGGGGTGACATGATCGAGGTTTATAAGATTATGCATGGGAAAGAGCAGGTAAAGAAAGAGGTACTTTTCTCCCTTTCTCACAATACAAGAACCCGTGGGCACTCCATGAAATTGCTGAGCGGTCGGGTTAGAACGGATAAAAGGAAGTACTTCTTCACCCAAAGAGTGATTAACACATGGAATTCACTGCCACAGGAAGTGGTGGCGGCTACAAGCATGGACGGCTTCAAAAGGGAATTAGATAAGCATATGGAGCAGAGGTCCATCAGTGGCTATTAGCCACAAGGTATAGCTAGGGGCTCTGGGGCAAGTGATGCTCTGTCTTCTTGGTGCTTTGAGGGGGGGGGGTCAACAGTGGGAGGGCTTCTAATGTCCTGGCCCCACTGGTGGACCTCCTGATGGCCCCTGGTATTTCTGGCCACTGTGTGACACAGAATGTTGGACTGGATGGGCCTTTGGCCTGATCCAACATTGGCGGCTCTTATGTTCTTATTAGGTGCATAATTTGCCCCAATGAGGAACAAGGACTGCAATCCTAAGAATGCTTTCCTGAGAGTAAGCCTCATTGAATAAAGTAACTTACTTCTGTGTAGACCTGCTGAGGATTGCTCCTCAACGGTGCAGCCCTAAGAACATTTCCCTGGGTGGGGGAGCCTCGTCAACAACCCGAGTGGGATTCTGAATAGACCTGAGTAAGACTCTGCTCTCGAAAGAGATCCGCCAGGTAAAAGTTTTTCCCTGACAAAACTTCCCTTGCAGTTTTTAGGATACCAGAGAAGCTTCGGAAACTAAGTCCACATTTCTCCTGTGTCCGGCAGGTAAATGAAGAGCTGAACGACGTGCGAGAGAAGGTGTCCCTGGAGTCCCAGAGAGCCCGGCTGGACCCAAACCCAAAGCTGCCGGAAAAGGAATGTTCTGATGCGCCTTACCACTGGAAGAAATTCAGCCAAGGCATCGCTCGTTTTTAGTCACAGTTAATTCTCACAACCAGTAATTCCGCCAACAAGTATTTCCCCCACCAATTTATCTTTTGTGGAGTCATCCGTCCAAACTGTTCTTGGTACCAAGGTGGGCAGTTTGTGTCGTAGATGCCATTCCGTAGCCCAGACACAAATGTACTTCTGCGCTGAAAGGTCCCAGCAAGTCTGAAACTGAGTATGTTGGCACAAACTGTAAGACAGCACACTTCAGCTGCGGGAGTTTGCTGGTAGACTTCAGAATCTGTAACTACTGCTGCTGCAATACTAAGCAGTTACACACACACCCCATTGACTTCAATGGGCTTAGAAGGATCTGTTTAGGATCGCACTGTCAGTTATCAGTTTTCCTTTGCTCCCTGTGTTACTTTTGCTCTCTCCAAAGGAATACACCTGGAACTGGACTGACCAAAGGTCCAGTCAGAAGAGACTTCACAGCTACCTGTTTTGGCAAGCAGAAGGTAGGATACTTTTGTGGCAGTGTATTTACCCATCGCTTCCCTTTGGAGGACCCCTTCCCACGTGGATCCCACCAGCCAATGGATGCAACATTTTTGATGTGCCTGTTGCTGAATATTGCAGAGGAGACTTTTTCCATAGGTACAACCAAGCTGGAATTGTTGGCAGAATATCTGAAGGCCATATAGACGGTGTCACAAAGCAGCTAGTTAGAGGTGAGGAGTTTGGACTGGTCTACTTTTCTGATGTTATCACTATAGAATACTCACATCTTAGCTTCAAACTTGGTACCACGGGAAACTCACCGCCTTTTAGGATAGGCGAAACTTTCTGTATGTACCCAATAATAACTCACCCATAGTTGATATGTGTAATCAGACATATGCATTTTACTGCTATGTTATTAAGAATAGCACTTATGTCAGCTGCAAATATTTGACCATTTGTTCCTTTAAAACCTGCATATGCCTTTTTATTGTGCCTGTATTGCATTTCAACTCCAGCCAAGGCCACCTGAGAAATTGCAGCACCCCACTAGAATTCAGAGGGTCCCAACATGGGGTATTTCCCTTAGCTCAGACGCTTGAGCACATTCCTATCACAGTACCAAGTTTTAAAAGTTTGCTCGAAGGCACCTAGGGACACAAAAATGAGCTAAAGGTAATTCTGATTCACTACTAACATCTCCTAACCACTGCAGTTTAACACCCCCTGGAAAGAAGCATATCTTCACCTTTTTTATTTATATTAAAATAGACTTTTAAACACAGAAAACAATGTTCTTTTTCAGCAGAGTTGACCCATCACATTTCATGAGCAGGTACAGGGGTTTGCACGGGAATTTTGGCCAAAGCTTCCAAAGGATCCTCACCCCATCCAGCAAAAATACTGTCAGAAAGTCTTATAAGTACAGGACACACACACCTCTTCCCCTGTACGCCCACAAGGAGATGTCAGTCTGTTCCAACAGCTTTTACCAAGGGAGAAGATCAAGGACATTTTCTGCCAACCATTAAATGACACCAGACTGTGCACTGCAGGGTTATCTGCACACTGGCTCCCAAACCAGCTGCACCGCAGCACAGTCCAGCCTTCTAAGAGGAGCTTGAGACACGCGATTTTCTCTGGTCCACCGCACAGCAAAGTAACACCTCAGCACCTTTCCTGACTTGTGGGCCCCTCAGGAACATAGAGGTGGCAAAGTGGGAACAGAAGACCCAGTTCTTTCTGGCGCAGTAAAGGGAACGCCAAAGAGATCTTGTCTGACTTTTCACACAGAGGCACCAGAATCCCAGTCCAGTGACAGGTCTATTCCTAGGCCAGCCCCGTCACTGGCCGACAGAGCTGGTTTTATTTTCTCATGACGAAAGGCAGCTGCCGTTGAAAACATCCTCTGATAGCACCTAATGACAACGAGGAATATAAACCCGGAAGGCAACCGTGTTAAGTTTATCCCAGAGAGTCTAACCCGTATATTTAAAGGCATTCCAGGTTACATCCCAAAGTAGACAGTAGGCTTTAGCGCACTATTGTTGTCACAGTGTGTGTGTGTGTTTCTAAAAATGCTATTTTAAAATGCGAAAGTAAGATTTCAGAGTCCAGGGAGAAAAAAATCAAGTCAGTTGTGCTGCAGTAAGGAATCAAAATCTGACAGCTGTCGGGGGGTAGGGTGACTATAAAATGCTATAAAAGCAGCCAAGATTCCGTTCTGAGACACCACAGGGCTCAGGGCAGAGTACAAACTTCGTAAAGTGCGTTTTCTTTTCCTCATCAAGTCAATGTTGCTCTTTGCTCTGGAAAGTCCTACAGCGCAGAACTCGATGACCAGAGAGGCAGTCTTTGGGCTGAATGTTCAGAATCAAAAAATTACATCCATTTGTTCTAAGCAAACTTATGAGCAGGCAAGAAACTCGATTTCTGAAAGAAGCGCCTCCAGACTGGTCAGAGGAAGAAAGGGATACGTGAAGCCAGGGTTTTGCAACCCGTGGACGAGAACACTCTGTCCTCTTCTGGGAAGTAGGTGACGCTCTCAGCAACTGCCTGGATGACGCCAGGTGGGGCCTGCAGGCCTTGGTTGGCCATCTCATTGGCCACGCACTGCTTCACGTGGTGCTTCCTCAGGGGAAGGAAAGGAACCAGGAGGTCAATCAGGTGTTGCTCAATTATTCCAGATTTCCAGAATCCATCTGCAAAGGGGGGAGTGGAAAGACAAAACGAATGTTAGTTGTTGTAGATTTTCTGGGCTGTATGGCCGTGGTCTTGGCACTGGCATCCGACAGTGCCAAGACCACGGACACAAGACCCCGAAAATCTACAACAGCTAATGAACTCCGATCGTGAAAGCCTTCGACAACATAGAAGAAGAAGAGATTGGATTTCTACCCCGCCCTTCACTACCCAAAGGGGTCTCAGAGCAGCTTACAGACTCCTTTCCCTTCCCATCCCCACAACAGACACCCTGTGAGGTAAAAGAAGAAGAAAAGATTGGATTTCTACCCCGCCCTTCACTACCCAAAGGGGTCTCAGAACGGCTAACAGACTCCTTTCCCTTCCCCTCCCCACAACAGACACCCTGTGAGGTAAAAGAAGAAGAAAAGATTGGATTTCTACCCCGCCCTTCACTACCCAAAGGGGTCTCAGAGCGGCTAACAGACTCCTTTCCCTCTCCCCCTCCCCACAACAGACACCGTGAGGTAAAAGAAGAAGAAAAGATTGGATTTCTACCCCGCCCTTCACTACCCAAAGGGGTCTCAGAGCGGCTAACAGACTCCTTTCCCTTCCCCTCCCCACAACAGACACCCTGTGAGGTAAAAGAAGAAGAAAAGATTGGATTTCTAC